CAACCCCAACCCCGCCCCGTCGCAGGAAAAAAAAAAACAAAAAAAACACGAATTTCAGGGGGGGTAAAAAACAAATGTCAAAAAAAAAAATTCTTGATTGCTTGGGATTGGAGTTGATTGATTGATTGATTGGTGGGGGAGCGGTCTCCCCCCCGCCATCCCCACATGCACACACACACACACACACACACACAAAAAAAAAAAAAAAAAAAAAAAACCCCAAAAAACTATGGGGGTGTAGGGTTTGAAAAACCCTACAACGCATACATATATATTGTCACAAGAATATCAGAGCGCAATAGTGAAAAAAATTCAAAAAAAGGAAAAAGAAAAAAAACAAGGAAAAAATGAACTCGTTTTTTTATCTTCTTCCTTACAACTCCCCCTGTTCAGAACGTCTTGCGTACAAGGGCCCCCACGTGGATGTAGGTTGAGCAGCGGCTGCCCCCACCCCCATGTGTCATATCGACCCACTTGCACACAGCCAAAAGGCAAAGAGGCAAAAAAAGAGGAAGTGAACAGCAAAGTGTAACAAAACAGGGGGAAACAAACATAAACAAATCCTAGATGACAAGTCCCAGATGCAAGCACCGCCCCCTCCATCACAGGCCAAACAACGGGACAAGACCAACCAGGATACCAAAACACCCTTGCCTGCAAACAAGCAATCCCAGATAACAAACCTTTCGTACTCACCAGCGACTATGCGTCAACTCCAAAGAATCCTTTGCAATTGTTTTTTGTTGCAAAAACTGGTATCGTTTTCATCTTTCTGCTGCTTCGTTGTTCCAAACTAAGATACTGGGACGCCACCAACGGCAAAAAAAAACAAAAAAGACAATCCCAGATGACGATTCCCACAGAAAAGCGCCGCCCCATCGCACCGAGGCCGAACAACGGGAAACAACCAACTAGGATGTCAAAAGGATTAAGAAACCCCCGATGACAGGTTGTGACGCCCGAACCTCACGCCCAGCGCGACTTCCTGATCGGAGTGGAGTGTGGGCCTGGAAGTGCGAAAAGGGGTGTGCCAAGGATTTTTGGGGGAAGTGGGGGAGTCTTAGGGGTATGAACGCAATTAGGCGAACGGGGGGTGGGTACGCGAGCAAGGGACTCACAGTCCGAAGGGGCCGGGACCCTGCGGGTGACGGGTTACGGGAAAATTCCTCCAGGGTGGAGATGTTCCTGAAAAGTTAGGCCGTCGGGGGCCGCCACGTGGCGCAGGCCGCCGCGTAGTTGGGTTGGGCCTTCGGAATTTCGGGGTTCTGTGTGCGCTGCTGCGTCGACAGTTTACGCAAAAACGTGTTGGGCCAATAGGGGGCTATGGCCGGCCACGGAACAACACTGAGTTGATGATACGGGAGAAGGAGGCGGAAAGGACGGAAACTGGTGGTGATCTCAACGAATCCCGGGTGGGTGAAGTAGTAGGTGTGGTCGGGGGAAGGGAAATCGGAGCACCGAGGGTCGCTAGTGGTGGCACAATGGAATTCCCGCGGACATAGCTGATTCTCCGTGTGACAAGGGTATCGGGTCCTTATGAGCTCGTTTATCATAGGGGTGAAATAGTCCGGGTCATAGGACGAGTCTGAACCCCAAGATCGCGTCATGGCATCATTGCCGATGGGATAGCGCGGGTCGGGCTATCGTCACCGCGCACGAGCACATGTAGGACAGGCCGACTCAGTGGCGCCTCAGCGTGTTCGTACGGGATGATGGTTCCGTCGTGACTCCTTTCGGGGTGAGCGAGTCGACGCACGGGAATGCGTGAAAGGGCGCAACTCGGATCGCGTTTACACGTGTTCTCGTGCGACGCTCGCCGGGCCGGACTTCGGATCGCCTAATTGCTTCGTAAGTCTCGGTTATGCAAGATGCAATCATACCACAACCTCATCATGGGACAAGCAAAAACGAGGACGAAATCGACATCGGTGCCAGATTCTTATCCCATCCATCGTTGCATCCGGTGCAAGCAAAGATTCGGCACAAACAAAAAGCAAGGGCAGGGATTCTCCGCATAAGAGGTAGGCAAGCAGGCATAACATTCATGCATCCATACATTCGACAATCACACACACAATGCAATCGCAAGGACAAGTGTGAGCAAAAACCCAAGTCCAGATTCAAGAAAGCCGAAACGAAGATAAAAATGGGCAAACCGCCCGGAGCCGCAATCAAAATGTATGTACATAGATGAAGAGGGAGAAGAGACAAAGAAACAGYAAATCCACGTCCATCAACCTCAACTCTCTTCTCCTCTCTCTCTCTCTCTCCGATGCGGACAGTCCGTCGTCACGCACCAACCCACGAAGTTGTCACCCCGCTTAGTCCTCCCGCACCCGTCGGATTYGCCCGTGCCCACAGTCCGTCGTGGCCCACGTCAATCCCGCGCGTTTGGCACCAGCCCGTCGGSTCGCCCAACTCCAACTCTACTCACCTCTTACTTCGCTCGTGTGCCGACCCTTCCTGATCGCGCAACCCCGAGCTTCCAACAACGGGTTAAGAGAGCTGACTAATCGCGCAGCCGAAATTTATAGCGTGCGTGCATGCGCGAAGAACACGGAGTTACTCGGACTTAGAGTGAGGATTAGAGAAAGGAAGCCTGCGTTCTGCATGATCGGCCGCGGCGTGGGGGACGGGACCCTTCTCCACGCATCGATCCGATCATGCAAACCGTGGCTTACGAAAATTTCAGCAAAAGAAAGAGAGGGAGGGTGGGATAGACGTAGTGCAAGAAGAGAGAGACAGTTACAATGGCGCCCACCCAAAATTACAGTTACACACACGATTAAGGGCGCCCACTAATAAAGGTACCGTTGCGTCCGCACGAAAAAGCGCGTAGACAAAAGGCGTCGCGCGGCAGGAAAAATCCTAATTACTAAATTCCTAAATTCCTCTCTAATACGAAAAAGCGAAAAGCACAAGCTTCAGAAGGAAAATTTGAAATTCCGAGAGCCATTGGGGGCTCGACAAAATTCGAAAAAGATTCAAGAGGAAATTTAAAAAGAACGACGCAATTTCCCGCGCGATGTCCGCGCCCAAAAGATAAAAAACCGAACCAAAAGAAACGACGTCAACATTTATTAATCGCGCACGCGCGTGGCGTCGCGCCAGACAAGCATCCGATCAATCAATCAACCAGCCGTCCCAAGACACACCCGACCCCGTGCCCGACCATTTCGAAAAAGAAGCGACGAAAAAAAAGGACGAAAAAGCGAGGGCACTGATGCAATTCTCCACCGACCCCGATTTCCCGTAATTGGCCCAAGCTGATGCAATTCTCCACCGACCCCGATTTCCCGTAATTGGCCCAATCTTCCCAGCTTGGGACCCCTCATTGCAACCGCGCAGAAAATCGCGCATTACAGAATGTGGTTCGTCACATATGTGACGCCCAGGGGGTTCCAATATTACCAAGCTCCTGCTTGCTTGTTGACACGTGTCGATTTGTCTAATTGATCGACACGTGGAGCAATTCTCTGTATGCCACTTACCGTTCGATTGCGTGTGAACGTCATCCAACGTGGCAACTCTGCTCTTCTACTAGTTCCTCAGATTGGGCTCTTCGACGATCCAAGGATGGGATCTTTCTCGTGCCGTCGCCGCAACACGCGTCCATTACCGCTGCATCAGTAATTAACCGGAAGGGGGAAGGGAAGGCGATACTCGTATGAGGGAGGGCGGGGCGGCTCCATTGTAAGCTCGGGTATGAAGCGCCCGATCGCAGCGAGGTCGTAGGGAAGTTCTTGAAAACGGACAATGCGATGGAAGCGAGGGAATCTCTGGCCGTTGCGGGGAAGGGAGGCGAGGTAGTCTGGGTAAAGGGATACGAGGGTTCGGAGGACGTCTGTGCGGAACCGATCATGGTTCTCGCACGCGGGGAAGATCCCCGTAACGATGCAGTAAACCTCTATATGGTTACGGCCTCACCACGCGGCGCTAAGGAGTAGAACGTGGAGGGAGTAGTCGGGGACAGCACACCGAACGGAAGGGTGGGGGTGGACAGTCAGTTCTAGGCGGGCGGAGTAGCAATGTCGGAAGGTGGCGATGGGGAAGGGATTACGGGGGTAGATGACGCGATGGAAATACTGATTGAAAGAGAGATAGCTAAGGGGATGGTGGTATATGGATCGGGGACGAAGGGCTAAGCCCCTCATTGACACGTTGACGAATTGGGGGACGGGCAGAGGCGGAAGGGGACGTGGATCGGGATCGGGATCGGGATCGTCGCCTTGTCGTCGCGGCTCCCGAGGTTGTGGCAGTAAGGTCTCCATGTTCCGGCTTGGGCGGCTCAGGATCCTTGAAAGGATCGTTCGGTGCGGGATCGATCGCCAGCCGCTTTCCTTCCGCGATCTCTTTCTTGCGCTGCGCAGCAGCCTCCGGGTTCTCCTTTCGCCGATCCGGTCCTGGCACCCACTCGAGCTCGTCGTGCGTTGGCTCCTGGTCGTCCCCGCTTTCCACTTCTTCGTCGTCTTCGTCCTCCTCCTCACTTTGCTCTCCCTCGCTGTACTCGCTATAGGCCTCTTCCTCTTCCTCCGAAGTCTCCTCCTCTGCTTCTTCTTCTTCTTCTTCTTCTTCAGCTTCCGCCGACTCTTCTTCTGC